CCACTTAAACCGGCCAGGAAAGACAAGGATACGTTCAGTTGAAGGTATCTTAGCTTTGTTTTGTTATATTTTGACTTTTGGACTATTTTAGTCCATGGGAGTTTCGACGACTCATCGCATTAATTTGTCCATGTGAATATTAATATATTCATTCAGTGACACATACTACGTCTGGGCCGCCTGTGGTGTCTGTTTGTCGTTTTACTGCTTTTTTTTGGCCTTATTGCGTAACCGCTTTTACTCCTTTCATAGAACGAACTTCATAGAACGAAGGGAGTAAGAGTGGTTACGCAATAAAGCCAAAAAAACAGTAAACGACAATCAAACACCAAAATGCAGTGGAATACAAAGCAGGTAAGTCTGTTTTATTCATTTCATTTAAGAAAAAGTAAGGTTTATCGTCATTTAGCGTTCGCAGATCTCAGTAATATATTCTCATACAAAGTGTCTTATATTTTCAACGGTCGCCTGTAACGCGACACCAGCGCGTCACCTATGGTATGTAAATTACATTACAGCCTTCCCTCGTAACGTTTTCCTGCGTACAGACTTTGTTTCACGCGGAAAAGGGACCCTTTTGCGCGTGCAACAAAGGAAATAGGAGACGTCTGCACGCAGGTAATCGTAACGTGAGTTTGGGCCGCCTGTGGGGCGAGGGGGGAGGGGGTGGTTCTCTTTCACATGCTGTCCAGCAAGGATGCTTGCGTAGCGTAAGTCAATGAAGAACAAAAACGTTTAGCTCTACAGTGTTGACTGAACGCGGGCAAATTAGGCTATCTTTGACTACGTTTTGAGCCGTTTTGTCTATAAAGCCACTTTTTAAACTCGATTTAAATGGTTAACCAACGACTAGACCAAGTAACTGATAGTTTTGGGCTTGCAGACTGTCAAGAGTCAACTTTTTTTCTCCATTTTGACCAGTCAAAAACATCGAGACGTGACAGCGTAAAAAATTATTTGGTCGATCAACGTGGTCCAGCCTCTGTCCGAAATTTATTTTTAGCCATGTTATCATTCTTAGACAATTATGTGACACATAACTTTAGTCACTTTAGGGCCGCGCTTACCGGGACACCACTTTTGTCAGCTTGACGTCCAGTTTAATCTTCTGTAGTGCTCTTTTTGATTGTCATTCTTTTACTGAGTATATATGCTTATCCCGTCCTAAGAGAAGTGTAAGTTACTGTATTTGGCTAAAATTCGTGTCTTATGAGTCATATGAGAAAGTGTAATGCGCGTGTTCTGCAGCTTACTGTCTCTATAAATGAAAGTTTTACAAAAGAGCGGTAACCGAGTTTAGTTTTTGGCGCTATGACAATGATTCCAAGAAAAAGTAGAAAGAGAAGGAAAAACAATGTCCAAATACATGTTAAGAAACCAAGCTTTTCTTCGTCATAGTTTGGAGGTGATTAGCGATTGGCGGCTTTTAACGTTTTGTTCAATTCTATCACTTCGAAAGACTGTTTAAATGTTCCAAAAGAATAAGCAAACATGTTTCGACGTAGCCTGTTCCAGGCGTTCGGATAGGACAAGGAAAACTACGAATGTAACGACATACAAACAAAATAAACCTGCTATTATATTATTGGTGGATAGCAAAAGACTTGATTAACCTTCGCTGGTTTATGATATGGCATAGATAGGAAAAATTGAGTTGGAGTTACACAAGAACTTTGTTAGGCCGTTTTCTTGCAAATTGCAGCTCGATTTTCCCTGGCAATGACTGTACCTTTTCCCAATACTTAAACATGCAGCAATCAAATTAATAAACGTGAATATTTAGGAATGATTTGCAAGAATTCTTTTGTTTCTGTTAATCAAGCATTTTTCTATCTGCATGACTGAAAATAGAGTTCGCAAAAATGGAGTAAGTGAAAAATACAGTCTTGAGGTCAGTCTCACTCTCTACTAATCGTTAACCAGCTCCGAGATCCTCAATCCCTAATTATATGGAGATTTAGATTAGATTAATCGAAGGACAAAATTTAAAATTGCGATGTCGGTGTTTCGCCACGTTTTTTGCTGTGATGCAGTGTTTGTTATTTTTTTCCGCAGTGTTGCGGTGTGGACAGTCCCCCAATGTCTAGCCCGTGTAGCAAGCGTTTCCGCGTGAGTTCGTCGAGAAAAGTTGGGACGAGAGCAAAAAAAAGGAATAAAGGGGGAGGGGGAGGGGAAAGAAGGAAACGCTTGCCGGCAAACCCCACGATTTTGAAAAACTGTGTTCGCCCACGAACGCAGCTTCTGATTGGTGCGGTGCTGGTAGTGTCGAAACATCAATCAAACCAGGTATGCTTTGTTTACGTGCGCCACAGATCTGGTCTTATCTGATTTGTGGTCACAGAATCGTGTTCGTGCGAAGGTTTATGAGATCAGAGTCGTTAAAGTATAATAGGAGATCGAGCAGTGGAGACTAGTGAAGGCCAATTTATTGGGAATGACGGCGTGCGGATCTGACAGGAAAAAATGGACTGTTTGATGGAGATAACATCAACGTAAATCAGAACATCGGTTCTCGACACTAGCTAAAGCCGCCATAAACAAGCGATTTGTCAGCTTTTTGAAATGAAAAGATTCTTTTTGTTTATTGGAAATTTAGCAGGATGTATTGTAGAGAACGTTTCGACACGGGATGAAGAGCAGCCGCTCTGCAAAACTTATAGCCGACAGAGTGAACTGTTCCGGACAAATTCCGCAGCAATCACTCAGAGTTTTAACCTTCTGTTATCGTAAACCTTTTTTATTACAGTTTTTGCAATAGCCTGGAACGTGCTCTATTGGAGAGCAGAGTAATTTTACAAATCTGGTAATCCAGGGGTAATCTGTTATACTTTTATTTTGACGAGCTGTCAATTTACAAATGAACCGAACCGTGAAATATCAAGGGGCGTTATCCAGAATCGTGGGGTTTGCCGGCAAGCGTTTCCTCTTCTCCTCTCCCCTCCCCTTTCCACTTTTTTTTTTCGCTGGAAACGCTTGCTACCCAGGCTAAACAATGTCCCCCTCATTATTATACCATAAACCCTTACGGAACTGTTATACATTCTTCCCGTAATTTATAAATCGAAAAAGAAGACAAACTTGCTATGCATTCTAACAACGTCTTTGAATATAGCAAGATTCGAACACGAAAACGAAATGCGAAGAAAAGCATTAAAACCGAAAAAAAATTGGAATCCAGCCCTTTTTGGAATCCGGAATCCACTGTGCTGGAATCCGGAATCCACAGCGTGGAATCCAGAATCCAAGACTGTCATGGATTCCCTAAAATGGGGCGAAAAACTTCTCGACATCGTTCGCTATATTGAATTCAAGAACGCTTTCCCCCAATTTAGGTCACGTGAACGAAAATTTGAACAGCGATTGGCTTGTGGTTTGTTTTGGTCGAGGTTATCAAATTTGATAACGATCCTGGACTGTCCAAACAGACTACCACAATGCTTGAGAGGCTTGTTATCCGGACTGGCTTTTCTGGCATAAGCAGGAATGACGCGAACTACTGCCTTCATGGTGACATGTGACCATCACTAATATATTGTTTCGTTTCGTACATAGCAGGAGGGTAGCTTTGTACATCGCGACAAGTCTGTGAGCAATGTCGATTTGCAGCAAATGTGGAGTTGCCTTTTAGGACAATAAACTGCCGCGGATTTAAAGTAACACAAGACTTGAGGGATGCCGTCAACATTCAATCAAGAAATCTGTTTCTTCGTCAACGGAAGAAAGGTAAAATATCTTTAATATGGGTTTTACAAAAGCGACTGTGCAGCTTTTCAAAGACACATTTCCTCATAACTGCATCATTTTCAGTTAAAATGAAAGTGAACTAAATAACGCAGTAATAGGTGGGGTAATACGGTAGAGACAAAGTGACAAAAGCAAAAAACAACTCGCTGAACTAATATTTTAGTAATCGCGACGCTTAAACTGACATCGAATCTTGTATACTTTTGTTCAGTGGAACAATGGAACTACAATCAGGCAGTAAGTTAAGCATGGTTCTGGAAGCAGATTGGCTGACTAGATTGCATTGTGGCGATTGCCCATAACGAACGCTTTTATTTTTACAGATATCCACTATTGTCATACGTACTGTAGCACAAGCACTCAGTTAGGGTCGAATAGATTTACTAGATTGTAGAATTAACTCGAACTTCTCCATAGTCATACTCGGCTGCGCCTGCTTATGCAGTTTTCTAAAGTTAATTTTTCCATTCATTTCCTAATCCAGCGCCATACATGCTTTTGTCCACCGGTAATGAAAACATTCGCGTCAGTTTGTAGCTTAAGAAACTTTGCTGATCAGTATTTTTATCAGTAGAAACTTCCTTGTTTTGTTTTTGTTTTTTGTCCTTTTCAAGCTTCGATTAAGACCAGTAAGTAAATATCCATTGAAGAGCGGTTTCTAATCAGTAAACTTACTTAGTTTAAAGGTGATACGACTAAAGTGAGCGGGGGTATTGCTCCACGAAGTCGCAAAATCTTACAGATGTTTGTAAAGTGGGGTCACGTACTTCCTCCCACGATACAAACGTCTGTGAAATTTCGCCACTTTGCCGAGCTATATGTTAGTTACTTTTAGACAAATCACTCTAAAAGTTGGCAAATTTACTGCATTTAAGGCGTTCTCTCCAGCGGTGTTAATAACTGGTCCCAGTTTAAAATAGGAAAAACAATGGAACGATCTGCATATCCGCATAATACATACCAGAAGCGTTGCGCAGTGGTTATATTAATAACCCGATCGCCAGTTTTTAACCAGATAAAACTTGTTCTACCGATTTTATGCATTATTAAATTCCACGCGGGCGGCGTTAACAAAAACACAAACAAGAAATATCTTTCCCGTTAACTTTTTTGCAGGTACTTTGGTTATTAGTTGTGCAAAGCCTTTACGCCAAATTTTATTATTCACTTGATCGAACTGTTATTAGGCCAATTGGTCATGACAGCTGATTCCTAACCGTTTGCCGCCCTCCCCTCCCCACCCTCCACCCTAAATGACCCGACTATCTTGTACCATCAAAAACTGCCGGGGGCGGGGGGAAGGAAAATACTCCCTTTTTCAAACCATATTGGTATGCCGCCGCCCCAAAGGGTATCGTTTTTGTGCCGTTTCGGTTTGAAAACGGGTATAGTCAGAGTTTGCAGATTTTGGTCTGGAATCATGTATGGTTTTCGAGGGAACTGCGGGATTGTATGAACGTATTTGTCGTTTCAGCTTCAAATGAATAAGAAAGAAAGAGTAATATGCAAACTCCAAAAGGATTTGAAGAAATCTTTTTGTTGGCGTTTTAATCTAAGTAATGATGACATAATTTTTACCTATGTAAACATGTATGTTGCGTGTTTTGACCTCCTCCAGGTTTGAAAACGGGTTGGGATTTTTGAGGCCAGCTCTGAAAACGGGTTTGGAAAATAACATTTTTTGCTGTGAAGTAGGGTCATGATTTGGAGAACAGGGCGGCACACCCTTCCCAAGAATTCTTAGGAGCTACCCCCGGGTATCAACTATTACGCACTTTTAAACACGCTCAAATTTTTCATAATAATCGATGACACTTCTTCCCGTTTGGTATTCTTGAGATACTCGCTAACAGTTTTTTGGTAATGCTCCATAGGAAACAGGCTGAAAATCTTTTTGCGAAGCGTGACATATTTTAAACGTTGTAACCCTAACTTCCGGTTAAACTCAACTTTAAGCAGCTTGAGGTAAAGGTAAAGTTCACGTCTTTAAAATGGCGTTTTGAGTTCGGCAAAGGGAAACTGTCCCTCCAAAATTTTCAATTTCTCTTGGGACTTACAATCGCCCCAAGAAAAATTGAAAAGAAAGCTCATGCAAAATTGTTAGGGGACGAGAAAGAAAAACCTGAAAAAAGGCCTGTTGCGTACTTACATACTTTGATACTTTTCGAAATATCTTAATGGATTTTTATGGCTCTCACTCGCTTTTCGCTTGAATGCTTTCTTTTATTATTATTATTATTTTTTACGGTTTTTGTTTTTTTAGATTTATCTATCCCTTTATCGCTTTACTTTCTATTTTTTGGCACTTTGAAATGTTAAGAAAAAAGCTAATTTTAAAACGTTCAGTATTTACACTAAAAAGCACTAGCCCGGCTACGCCTCTCTGTAACCAGTTTTTCTGCCCTTTGGGATATCGTCCAAAGTTTTGGTATATGCGTCTCTCACTCTGTGCCTCCAAAATTGCCTTTTGTTCTTAATCCTTTAACCGGCAAATTTACTGACAGGAATTTTATTTCTGGGATTATGCTCGTATTTTGACTCCAACTTCTGTGTTTCAATTCCTAACCCCCATAACCTATGTAGCAAAATGTTCAGCACAAAACAGCCTATCAAGTGATATACTCTAGCCTGTAAATAGGTATGTTTTAATCCAATTTCTTTTGTGATTTTTTTCAATTTCAACTTGAAAGTGACTACTGACGAAAAATTGTTGCTTTCTTCGTAGCTACTAGCCATTACAATGCAACAAACAGTCTCAATGCCACTAATAACCATACTGCTTCGCATTCCCAGCTTTTTTGTGCTTGTAAACCTTTTTTGGACACTAAGAAAGTCTCATTTCTACAGCTGATTGAAAAAGATGAAACATTCAAGGGACTTTGTCTTGACTAAATCGCTCAAAGTGGCAGAAACGAACGCTAAACGCCACTCGATAGAAATAACTCTATTTAGACTTCATATAAAACACAATGAATACGGATACCATGGATACATGATCCGAAGCGTTTCTTTACTACGGATCTGAAAAATCACAGGCCGCCCAGACGTAGTATGTGTCAAATGAATATATTAATATTCACATGGACAAAATAGCATAGGATGAGTCGTCGAAACTCCAATGAACTAAAATAGTTCAAAAGTCAAAGTATAACAAAACAAAGCTAAGATACCTTTAACTGAACGTATCCTTGTCTTTCCTGGCCGGTTAAAGTCGCATTTTGTTGAGTTTTGCAATTGTAGGTACTATCCACTAAAGAAGAATTAAAGGCTGGCTACAAAACAAACGGACCATCTCCACGCGCCTTCACGCGAAGCGCTATAAATTCGAGAATAATCGACGAATCCGCCCCAAATTGCCATCGGCTAATATGTAGGTAACGTGTGCTCCTGCTTCTTGCTCGCTGGCTCCACAAAACCCATCGCAACTGCACAATAATCGCTCGCTCATCAAAAACACTATTGCCCTGTACGCTTCGATATGACCGCAAACTACCAGGTTTAATACGCGACGTGAATATTCAAGCTTAGCGACCGCGTCTGCGCGACAATGCAGTACTTGCTATGGGAGGGATGGTACTGTTGCTTCTAGGTCAGCTGTTTGTCAACACTGCTCATCTCGAAGGCAATTTTTGACCCCGAGGCATGGATTAAACGATCGATTTTGTCCGCTTTGTCCGGGTAAAATTGGTAAAAACGCAATACAAACAGGACCTGCACTTTTTTAGTTCACAGGGACAAACTTCGCCGGCGCGTCTTGCAAGACTTTAATTTTCCAATACATAACTTGCAACTCAACATATTATGTTGTTGCAAGATTTGTCTTCATTTGGCCCGTCAGAAGCAGTATCCTTGAGCTAATCGTCCAGAATACAATGAAATGATCAGCAAACTTACGATATTGTCAGCAGCCGTCTTCTTTTTTCCTCCGGGATACTGGGATATTGTGGGTCGTCTCTATGGGAATGAATGAATAATAATCATTTTTTGGATATATTGTTTCTTTTCTTAACGAAAAATCCTACTGATCTTGGATTTTAGTAAAGAAACGCACCCTTAATTTGCATTATGCAACAACAGATGTCTGCGCAAATAATTTTTTTTACCTCCGCTAGACTCGCTTTGATTTCCGAAACTGCCATTTTCTTGTGTTTGTTGTTGTGTTCTGAAGTTTTGCTTGTTTTTGTTTTCATTGCTTTTCACGAAAACAAATTGTTGAGACGAATTACTATGTCTTTCATAAATGTGGCTTTCAGCCTTTGGGTATGGTAGTTATAAAATTTTGACCATAATTATGCGCGGATCTACACCGGTTCCACCGTTTTACGAAAATCGGTCAGATTTTTCATGATTAAATATATTTTTCATGAAAAACACTTTCCAAGTTAAAATCTTGTCAATACCCTGACTGAATGACTCAGAAACCCAGGAAAGGTGACTTTAGGTAGCAAAAATCCAAAAAAATTCGCTAGGGTGCATGCCCTCGCACCCCTCTAGAAGCTGGCGCCTTCGGCGCTCGTTTAAAAAATCGGTTAGTATTTACCCTAGATCCACGCCTGATAATGTATCACCTATTATAACTAGGGGTACCTTCCGGCAGGTGCCAACGAGGCGAATTCGTTCATCTTTTGTGGAATGTGCCTATCCAGATCTTCGCGATTTGTTGCATAATTTTAGAGGTTTACAATGGATTTCGCTATAGAAAAGAATGGCACTCAACTTTAGAAAAAAAACTTGGGTACATTCTAGGCTTTCACCTCTATAAAAAAAATAACAACATGGCTTGAAGCTTTGTTGTCTTTGTCGGTAAATTGGTGCAAGTTAGCACTCATATTTTATGGAAATTCAAAACTATAAACGTTAGAAAGTAGAATATAGTTCAAGTGATGCCTTTGACTGTTAAAATTTAGACCACGAGTAGTCCCCCATTTTTCCTCAGGGATAGTAGACCGTGCGAAACGCGAGCGCGCGTGAAAATCACTCCACGCGAGAAAAGGCGACACGCGGCGGGGAGAGAGATTTTCCTCTTTCCCTGCCGCGTGTCGCCTTTTCTCGCGTGGGGTGATTTTCACGCGCGCTCGCGTTTCGCTCGCTCTACTATCCCTAAGGAAAAATGGGGGACTACTCGTAGTCTAGTTAAAATTAAAAATTAAAATTAAATTCCGCTCTTTCGTCAATCAAAGGCATCATCGGGGAAAAGAAAAATATTCCGCATTGTACTATACATATGAAAAAGTTGTTGTAAGCAAAATGTGTGAAAAGCGCAAGAATGGGGCGGAATGTATCCGGAGGTATAGAAAAAAAGCTTGAATAAAATACAAAGATCTAATGAGTGAGTGGCACAGGACAAAACCAAGAGTCTCTCGAAAGGAAAAATGATTCAAAGTGATGGTCTTTAATACAAAAGGTCCGCAAATTCGTGGCATTGCTCATGGTAGTTTAGGGCTGTCTTCAACGTAAATCGAGCTGCAAAAGGACACGCTGGTTGACAAAAATCTCTCCAGGGGCAAAAATAACTTCTAAAAAACAAAAGGTCCTCAAATGCGTTGCATTCCTCACGGGAGGCGAGGACCGGCTCAATGTAAATCGAACTGCGAAGATCACGCTGGTTCTGATATTAAACTTTTCGAGAATACATCCCTATTCCTTGATTAACTATCGCATAGAATTCATATTAACAAAGGAAAAGGTAATACTGAAAACCCTGGTTCTGAATCGAGAAGCGAACACGCTACCTCAATAAAGTAAATCGAGCTGCGAAGAACAAGCTGGTTGTGACAAAAATTGGAGCGTTTACAAAAGCCTAATAAATTCCTATAGCTGCTGCTTTAAACACAATTTATAAAGCAAATCAGAGTACTAATAGCCCTTTCAAACTAGAAATCGTATTAGAGCTTGCTCACCAGTTAGGGCCTCTTGAACAGAAAACGAACAGCTGCAAACGGGATCACCCAATTTCGAGCCACGAATTGTAAATACAAGATCATGACGTCACTGCCCAAATATGGGGTCTTACTTAAACCAAAATATGGTCAAAAATGCAAATTTTAGAGGTTTACGCAGAATTTGAGAGTTTTTCCCCACATTGCGCGGGATTATGAAACTGTCGCCGACGCAACGTCGCTTCTTAGCTCGGTTGCCTCGTTGGCAAATAGTAATAGTTGACACTAAAGCTGCCCCCCCTCTCTATGTTGTCGGTCAATCGTATTCTTGATCTTTGTGTAGTTCTTTGAAATATACCGATTCATATTGAAGATTTCCACACATATTCCATGCAATAGGTGAGATAAAAACGGGAAACGCAAGATTTTGTGAACTGATTCAGGTCGATTTACCCAGCTTTCATCAAAACACCCAGCCAGTTTCGAGAATATTTTGGTTTATTTTATTCTAAACTACGGGAAAAGATTTGATTAGAAGTGGTAATTTTCCATATTTGTCTTGCACTTTTTACATACAGTTCATTCCATTAGCCGGAAATTAAGCCTTAGAAAGAAGCTTTGATCAATTCACGCTCGCGCGTTCTTAGTCATTTTTTTTAACTATGGAGACAATACTTCAAAAAAGACTTATAGAAGGACATCTGTAACCAGGAAATCATTGTGAATACGTTAGTACAGAATTTAATTGTCGGCGAATTTCGTTAATCGTCCATCGTTCTGCTAGTCATAAGCTAGGCGTTGATGCACTCGTTTGCATAGGGAGTCTTATTCCTCCAAAGAGATTTGTGTCTGGCAAATCGTTTCCAGTCAAAGATTTGTAAATGATGAAGTCGTGTCTGGCAAACTCTCCAAGTGTTTTTATACATGTATTACACAGTTACACGCCTCTTTTAACTTTATCAGCGCTCAACGAGTGTCTTTTGGTCCATAAATTTCAAAACAGCTGCTTCAGAGAATGTCACTGAACTCACAACGCAAAAAATTATCGGAACAAAAGAAAGCGTTTACATAAGAAAAGAGTTCAAATCCCACAGGATAGTTTTGGAACACCAACATGGCCGCCGTTTTACTGTTTTGGAACACCAATATGGCCGCCGTGACGTCATGTGAAAACGCTCCATAAGTGTCACAAAATCCTAAGCGGTTGCTTCGGGCAATTTTCTGTTTTACGTCATGCTAACCATTTCATACTATGCGGGCGTGAGCAATAGAAGCGTCATCATTACCCAACGATTCCATGCGGCCCCTGATCAAGCAAATCGAGATTTTTCACGGTATACTGACTGCATATTTCAACTGTAAGTACTTTGATAATGCAATGCGTACATTTCGAATTCGCATCTTACACTTTCGTTCTTTTTTAACTGGAATTGAAACGACGAATACATTCATACACTACCGTAGGTCCCTCGTAAGTCTTACTCAATTCCAGACCAAAATGGGCAAAGTCTATACCGGTTTTCAGACCAAAACGGCGCAAAAATCTTACCCTTTGGGGCGGCACACACCTATATGGCTTGCATAAAGGGGTATTCCCCCTCCCCAGGGCCTTCACACTTAAGCTGAAAAGAGGGTCACTGTTTGACAGCTTATCAAGTTAAACGGTGGCTTGTCACGCCCTCAGACCACAGGACATAATCAGTCTAGACCGAGAGTATTTGTGAATTTGTTTTTATTTCTAGGTCACAGAACGACATCCAAAGCCCGAAATGACTCTTCTCGAATATGTTCGAAATCATTGTATCCTTTGATGCAAGAACGCGGCGTGGAAACTGGTTTTCCCTTTCAATCAAAAATAGCTAAAAAATAAGATCCAAGAAAAAAGGATTTAATTTTATGAGATACAGAAAAACAAATAATACTACTGGAGAGGAAAGCTGTGAATTCATAGGAATGTTTACACCGAATGATTTTTTCTGCAGAAAATCTGTAAATTTTAGCACTGCAGTCTAAAAGGCCCTAAAAAAGCCGAATTGAGTACTGTGCCAAAAAGAGTACGAGGCATAAATTATGACAAATTATGAAATACGAGAATCGACACGGTGACAACATGCATGAAACGATGAAGGCCTAACCTACTGAGATGAGTTGAAAATATACGATTGTAGGAATTAAACGGCAGCTTTTTAAAGCCAAAGTACAATCTATTCATTTCTTCATTTATTTGTTCCAGTAAAATATATTTCTCGTCTATAAATCTGGTTTCAACAAACATTCAGATATACCAGTTTTCAGCCAATTTGATCACAGTTACTCTGAAATCCTTTGTTGCCTTACAAAGAACATCTGTTAGGGTTAACACTCGTCGTATGAAACTGCTTGTTTACTGGACGCATTTTTAGTAGGCCCATGTGAACGACTCCTTTCCTATGTTTAATATGGCGGCGGTGAGTGACTGGGCCCAGAGGATTTTGTATTTTTTTTCCTTGCGGACCAAACTGAGCCGCGAGATAATTTGATCAAACCTTAACAGTGAGATACGTAGTGGGCTTGACAGGAACCAAACTTGGATGCAGTGAAGGTGGATGTGGGGCTTGTACTGTCATGATCTCAAGATATGATCATGCAAAACAAAAGATAAAGTATCCTTTTAAGAATAAACATATTTTTTAGATATAGCACTCAGCTTTGTCTTGTTGACCTGCTTTGTGACCTCACCTCCCGCTTAGGGTGCTAATACCTAAAATGACTGCTGCCAGATAAAAATTTATGACAATACTTTCAAAAAGTCCTTGAGAAGAAAGTGTTCGAAAATTACCTTTATTACTATTAAAATTTTTTAGTGCCAGTGATATAATTTATTTAACAATAATAATATTGTTTAATTGGTTTTCTCTTAGGGTGGAAATCAATTTGGAACACGCCCATAAAACAAGATTCGGGTACCTTTTACGGGTGTTCTCAAAATTTTCTGACGAGCACCCCCGTCACTTTTATATGGTAGTACCCCTGGTCTCTTCTGTAGTAAAAGCCTTCCCCAACTATGCTTTGTATTAAACGCCCCCTGTCTAATAGACATGATAATTTCTTTATTCATATTTTTCTCGATTAACAAGAGTTTGCGCATTGCATCTCGATCAATGTCAAGTTAAAAGTCACGATTCTGAAATCGAGGTCAGTTAAGTCGATTTAAATAACGATATGGACCTCTAAACGGCCTATCACTGAATGGATTGGATAGTTTCCCATTTATAAACTGTGATGTATTTGGCTTCGGACGCCGCGCTTTTCATGAGCCGAACCTAGTGCATAAATTATTATAACGTATTTTGCACGCATGACAGTTGCCCGTAATGGACATTTTTCGCCTTTTGAATATTGTTCGGCCGGAATTAATATCGGCGTCTGAATCATTTCAGCCGGTCTAAATAATTTGGGTCAGCCTTAATGCGAATTAGGGTCGAGTCATGAAAAGTTCGGCGTCTGAACCGGGCCTAGGCATATCAGTTTTATGGAGTTTGTTTCAGTTTTAAGAATGAACGGCTCTATTTTCCAAACTTCTCTTACCTATTAAACGCCCCGTCTTAGGCTCCTAAAATTAAAAAGAAGCCCTGAGCGTCTATAAGATTATTTACAGTATGTTTCTTTTATGATGTAAAAGTACAACTTTTTCGTTTTAGACCTGTGCACAATGAAAGTAAAGTTTTAAGAAAATAAAACTCAGTTCCTAGTTTTTGTTTGCGTTTCTCCTGTTTTTCCTTTTCCTCTTTCCCATTTTTGCTGAACATATTGTTTTATACTAGACAGTTCACGTGAACGGTAGACACCTGTAGGACCTAGGTGAACGGTAAACTAAAGCGAAATCTAAAGTTGATTAACAAAAATGTTTTTAGCTTCGAGTTTGCACTTTTTTTCGAGGCTAGACTAATTAGAAGTGGTTACGTGCAGGGAAGGCACATAAAGAGATAACGAGGCAGTTTATTTTTGTTTCCGTCTCTGGTGAATTCGACGTAACAGATTTTATCATTGGATGGAAATTTTTCCTCCTTTTCATTGGCCGAGAGCCCTCCGCGTGACCTGCAAATAACTGCTCGCCACTGGCAAATCAAGATATTTTGCCCAACATCGTTCAGTTATTGTTAATTATTTAGACGTGCTTTGGGCATTTTCTCGTTTTGCGCAAATTCAGCACCAGTGGCTTTGAACGCAATCGGATAATGACAGGGTCACCAACGGAACAGGGTTTATAATTCTACAAGAGCGATCTAAGGCGTTTCTAAGGTCAATAACTTATGATACGGCCTGATATGCATATGGGCAGTTAAACTTGACATTGCTAATACACTTTTCTGCAAATGGATGCCTGTTGCCGTTGTGTGCAGTGGATGGGATGGCAGTTACCACTGTGGAAGGAATTGGAAACACCAAGACTATACTCCATCCTGTACAGGTACATATTTTAAGTATTATTTTTTAAAAAGAATAGTTTTAAAGAATAAAATAAAAAGTAAAAATATCTCATAGTATCAGAAGCCCGTCACTCGGAGGATGCTACTCCCTTACTCAGCCTTTGCAACGCTGTTTTTTAAGCATCGTATTGGTCATGGTCAAGAGTACTTTATCACCACGAAAATAAAAGGACCGCTTCGTATCTGTGTGTATTCATTGTTCGATAATGACAAAATAAAGAGAAAGGTAAGTATACTATTTTCTTGTCGTCTCCGTATTTACACTGACTTATTTGCAAGACTTATTTGATGGTCAAAATTGGCGGGACAATCGATCTGAAAATAAGCCGGTCATCAAAAAAAAACCCCGTTGCATGGGCACAAAAGGGTTGCTCACCCTGGATTATTGGCTTCTGCTTATATATAAGGGCGATGCCTCAGAGAAACTAGTTATTAATCGAACAATAACTTTTTTTTCTGGAAATCACTGACAACCACATTTACATATCTTATAGCACTGTTGTCATTTTTTTTCTGTTTCTTTTTTTCTACTTATTAAGGAGCGAATTGCTAAATCCCATGGGTCCCAGTGTGGATTTTGCACACCAGGAATTGTGATGTCAATGTACACCCTTCTGAGGAACAACCCTGTACCAACACAGAAAGAAATAGAAAGTGCTTTCGAAGGTATGAAACTCTTGTCATAGTTCATGGCTCGAAAGCGAGCGTTTGGTCTTGATAGTGAGAACCTCTACGTCAATAAACGTCATTTAACGAACTTAACAGAAACTTTCTTCCACAGCTTGTGCGCACATTGAAGACAAACTGTGTCCATACAGCGCCTACAACTAGAAAATACTTGAGGCTGAAATTAAGACGTTTTAGATCGACTTTAATCATGTCTACGTACTTATTTACTTCCTCGTGTACGTGTATATGTGTGATAATGTATAGTTACATTTTGTTCCTTTTTTACTTAAAATTGGTCCAAAGTCTAAGGTCCTCATTTTACTTTGGTAACTCGTGTAACAGTACTTTTAAGTTCTGACGGATCTCGTAGTGAAGCTACCCAGGGTGCCAGAGACTTTTCATGCGCGATTTGCGGTTTCGGTCAAGTCTTTATTGTGACTGGCGCGAAACGCTTCGCCGCTCGTGACTTCGGCCTGTGGCCAACACCGAAGCATCCAGCCGCTCTAAAAAAACAAACTCTAGTTCCCAGAATAACCGGAAGCCTAAGATGCGCTTTTTTACCCCCCGTCCCTCCCCCCTTTTTCCAATAGTGCTCCGTTTTACGGGTATTTAAAGCTACATAAAGCTGCGCAGAAAGGAAAGAAGTCGAAAGAAGGATGCGACCTATTACCTAGGAGTGGAGCACGTAACTCCTTGGGGCCTCCTATATGAAAGGGGCCGAGATGCTCGTCGGAAATATTAAATAAAACCCCTAAATGAAATAGATAGTGCAGGGTCCTACCGTTTACCCCCCCCTCTCCCCTCCGACTTATTTTGTCATGCATACGTCCTGTTTGGTAATATAATTGCACTCCCAGGTAATTTATTCCGATGTACAGGGTAGTGCAGGGTACTCCCGTACACCCCCTACCCCTCCACTTGTTTTATCATGCATACTTCCCTTTTGGCAATTGCAGGTAACTTATGCCGATGTACTGGTTACAGACCAATCATCGCAGGATTCAAAACGTTCGCAAAGGTAAATAAATGTAACCTTAAACAGCCTCCTACTTTATAGGTGTCTGGACGTTGATTCCAAAGAAAAACTTCGTGTGAGGTACCTTTATAACGGGGGTATTCCGGGAAGCTTTTGAAAGAGGTGTGTTGCTTCCTATAAATTCTAGCCCTAGTTCAGACCAAAATATGAGATTTTTCCTCCCCTTTTTCGAACCTGAANAAAGCTACATAAAGCTGCGCAGAAAGGAAAGAAGTCGAAAGAAGGATGCGACCTATTACCTAGGAGTGGAGCACGTAACTCCTTGGGGCCTCCTATATGAAAGGGGCCGAGATGCTCGTCGGAAATATTAAATAAAACCCCTAAATGAAATAGATAGTGCAGGGTCCTACCGTTTACCCCCCCCTCTCCCCTCCGACTTATTTTGTCATGCATACGTCCTGTTTGGTAATATAATTGCACTCCCAGGTAATTTATTCCGATGTACAGGGTAGTGCAGGGTACTCCCGTACACCCCCTACCCCTCCACTTGTTTTATCATGCATACTTCCCTTTTGGCAATTGCAGGTAACTTATGCCGATGTACTGGTTACAGACCAATCATCGCAGGATTCAAAACGTTCGCAAAGGTAAATAAATGTAACCTTAAACAGCCTCCTACTTTATAGGTGTCTGGACGTTGATTCCAAAGAAAAACTTCGTGTGAGGTACCTTTATAACGGGGGTATTCCGGGAAGCTTTTGAAAGAGGTGTGTTGCTTCCTATAAATTCTAGCCCTAGTTCAGACCAAAATATGAGATTTTTCCTCCCCTTTTTCGAACCTGAATCGCTGTTCTCAAAGTATGAATAATGATTGATGATGATTATCGTCATCGTTGTAATTTTCATCATTGTGACAGACCTTATCATAGGAAATTAACGCTTCATGAAATTAACGAGAATTTCAAAAATGTGCGTTGATAGGCCATTTGCATGATGGCGTCATTTTACTACCACGACCAGAATCCTTTAGGGTTTTGCTTTCTTGTGCAAATTAGAGCTTTTGTTGTTCAACCTTCGCTGGGATTACCAAAGTTAAAATAATATGAAAGGAAAAACGAAAAGAATTTTGGTCGTGGTAGTAAAATGACGCCATCGAGCAAATAGCCTAGTACTTAAGGTTATTTTTTGCGAATATTAATATCCGCGCCGCAGGAGCTGTTAATCAAGTGGAGCGTTAATTTCCATGACCTTAAGTTCCATTAAGGTAGAGGAAAGAGGAGTATTTTATCAGGGTCGGAGATTCGCTAGTAGCAGTGAATACAGAACTTATGAAGCGCCCTCGATGTAGCCAGGTTTTTTCGCTTGACCCACTTCGTTCATCTAAGGAAAGAGCCACGAAGAAAGTTTCCATCTCGGATTTTTTCTTATAAGTTTAACTTTGTTCCTGTTGTCCCAACAAGTTTTGTTTCTCTGTGAATTGATAAGATACTAAATAAGATACTCAGTTCTAGAAGCCATAAAACCTT